TTGGTACACATTGACTGCAAATACTGTTAGATACACATTGACTGTAATCACTGTGAGAAGCACATTGACTGCAATCACTGTAATACACATTGACTGCAAACACCGTGAGATGCACATTGACTGTAATCACGGTGAGATAAAAATTGACTGCAAACACTTTGAGAAACACATTGAATACAAATACTGTGATACACACATTGATTGCAAACACTGCGGTATACAAATTGACTGCAATCACTGTGAAAAACACAGTGACTGCAAACACTGTGAGATACACATTGATTGCAAACACTGCGGTATGCACATCGGCTGCAAACACTGTGAGATACACATTGACTACAGTCACTGCGAGATACATTGAGTGTAATCACTGCGATATGCACATCGGCTGCAAACACTGAGATACACATTGACTACAGTCACTGCGAGATACATTGAGTGTAATCGCTGTGATATGCACATCGGCTGCAAACACTGTGAGAAACACAGTGACTACAAATACTGTGATATACACATTGAGTGCAATCACTGTGAGAAACACATTGACTGTAATCAATGTGATTTACACATTGAGTGCAATCACTGTGAGATATGCATTGACTTCAAACACAGTGTGATGCACATTGACTGTAATCACTGCGAGATACACATTCATTGCAAACAGTGATTACAGCCAATGTGTTTCTCACAGTGATTGCAGTCAATGTGTATATCACAGTATTTGTAGTCAATGTGTTTCTCACAGTGTTTGCAGTCAATGTGTATATCACAGCGATTACACTCAATGTGTATCTCACAGTGTTTGCAGCCGATGTGCATATCGCAGCGATTACACTCAATGTGTATCTCACAGTGTTTGCAGTCAATGTGTATAGTGCAGTTTTTGCAATCAATGTGTGTATCACAGTACTTGTATTCAATGTGTTTCGATCACTTTGCGGAACACCTACGCTCGGTTCGCACTAAACAACTGCACCTCCCAGTCACAAACCATTTCAACTCCCCCTCCCATTCCTTAGACAACATGTCCATCCTGGGCCTCCTGCAGTGCCACAATGATGCCACCCAAAGGTTGCAGGAACAGCACCTCATATTTCACTTGGGAACCCTGCAGCCCAATGGTATCAATGTGGACTTCACAAGCTTCAAAATCTCCCCTCCCCCTACCGCATCCCAAAACCAACACAGCTCGTCCCCGCCTCCCTAACCTGTCCTTCCTCCCACCTATCCCCTCCTCCCACCTCAAGCCCCACCCCCATCTCCTACCTACTAACCTCATCCAGCCCCCTTGACCTGTCCGTCCACCCTGGACTGACCTATCCCCTCCCTAACTCCCCACCTACACTCACCTTTACTGGTTCCATCCCCGCCTCTTTGACCTGTATCTCCTCTCTACCTATCTTCTCCTTTATCCATTTTCTATCCGCCTCCACCTCTCTCCCTATTTATTTCAGAACCCCTCTTCCCCTCCCCCATTTCTGAAGAAGGGTCGAGGCCCGAAACGTCAGCTTTCCTGCTCCTCTGATGTTGCTTGACCTGCTGTGTTCATCCAGCTCAACACCTTGTTATCTCTGATATACACATTCCTGTATTCATCTTCCTGTTTCTTTACTCATTCGCATGTGGCATTGCAAGTAATCTGGAGATTAGTATTTTAAATGTCCTGCAGGCTATTTTTCTACCTTACTCCTAAATTCTGATTGCAGGGCCACATCCCTCTCCCTATGTATGTTGTTAGTACCAACGTGGACCATAACCTTTAAGTTTCTGTCTGATCAGCAGGATGTGATAATTGGAGTCCTGCCAGGTTCTCTGCTGGGACCTCAACTTCTTACAATTTACGTCAATGACTTAGGTGAGGTGAGCCAAGGCATGGTGTCTGAATTCTCAGAAAACACCAAGATTGGTCAGAAAGAAGGGTCACTGGACCTGAAACATTATTTATTTCTCTCTTCCTCTCCACAGTTGCTGCCAGGTTTCTCTGTTTTTTGTTTCAAATTTGCAGCATCCACAGTTTTTTGTTTTACTTTAGGGCAGAAAAGTATGCCATGACAAAGACACAGGAAGGTTGCAGGCAGACATAGTTACCTTGAGCGAGTGGGCAAAAATCTGCCAGACAAATTGCAAGGAAAATTGCAAGGTTGGTGTCCATGGCAATGAAAAATGAAAAAACAGAGTATGAATTAAATGGAGAACAACTGCGGAATTCTATCAGAGATAGTAGGAACTGCAGATGCTGGAGAATCCGAGACAACAAGGTGCAGGGCTGGATGAACACAGCAGGCCAAGCAGCATCATAGGAGCAGAGAGGCTGACGTTTCGGGCCTAGACCCTTCATGTC